TTTTTTTTTTTTTTTAATTATTATTATTATTATTATTATTTTTTAAATATTTGTAGATGTCCTTAGTGGGCTTGGGCTTTTAGGAAAGCAAGGCCTCAACGCTCGAACTTCTGTACGAGTAGCAAATCGGGCAAATTTGAGCCATGCTGTCACACTCTCTACACAGACAAAAATGCCGACACGGTAACACCACCACCGAGGCGTCCCGCCGCCGGCACCCTCTGCAGCTCGGCCCAGTCAACTCAACAACTCGGTCCGGGTCAATGAACGCCGACTCCGCATCGTCCACATCACCCACGGCGCATCCTAGCTTCCGTACATGGTGCCCCTTCATAGCCTGCTGCAACTGCGCCTGTAGCATCGCCGCCGTGACCTCCTGCTCCCTCGCCCTAGCCTGCCACGTTTTCACTTCAGCATTTAGCTGTGCCGCCCGCGCTTCCAGGTCGGAGTTTAGCTGGGCCTCCTTCTCCAGTTCCGCCTCTTTCTCTCTCAGCCTTTGCGCCGCCGAGTCCTCCGCTGCCTGCAACAGCGCACTGTAGTGTCTCTTCCTTGTTTCAGCTAACTTGTGCCTCACTTGCTCCCCCTGTATTAGTACTAATAACCGATGAAAATTCGAATACCCTTATTCTTATTCAAATACACAATAATAGATTAATACACCGTTTTACCTGTGCTTGGAGGAGATGCTGGAGTTCATTGCGCTGTTGTTTAACGTAGTGACTCAAGTTTTGATCCATTATTGAAAACGAATTAGCAGATTGTGAACTTTGCAATTGTTTCTGGATTCCAAAGGATAAGTGAAGGCCAGTATCAAATTCAGCTGAAGGATTTCTAGGAATTCTATTTGTGATTGTGCTACCATTATCAAATGCTCCACTTCTATTTTGTGGATTATTAGTCCCATCGAAGAACACGGGTGTATTATCAAGAAATTGTCCTCCAGATTGAGATGGTTGCAATGAATAATCGTTGCCTTGTTGTGCGTTGCTACTGACAAGAAAATTTGATGGGTATTGAGCTTGAATAGCCATTTTAGTTTAGGACGAAGAGGGATAGAGAACGAATTGGAGATATATATGAATACAATCTTGAAAAACCAATGAATTAAAATATATAGATCAAGAAGATAGAAAAAATTAAAAAAAGAAGCAAAATTTTCTACCCTTTTTGGTGAATGAATTTTGTGCAAAGAAAAATAAATGAATGATACAGTGGCAGGCAGGAGGTAGAATGATGCAGTAGCCACTAATACCAAGAAGACGACGGCCAGCAATGTTTATCTTTGCTTCTGGTGTGATGTTTCACTTTTTTTCCACCTAACTTTCTTTAAGTAGTTTGTGGGTTGCTTGCCTTTCTTTGTTAATACTTTGAATTGAGCGTACAAGATACATATAGACAGATCCATTCGGTCATGGAGAGATTGTGGGATGAGCTGATGAGGCACCAATTATTCTTTAGGGGCGGCGTTTGGCTTTTCTATGATGAGCCTCGCATTTCTTGACTTTTGTTGCTTTACACATAATCTATTCTCAAATTCTTAAAATACTCGTTTTCTAATGGAATATTTATTTTCATATTTCTTCTATATAACATCGATTTTTTGTTTAATTTTACTTAAAATAATTTTCACGCTACTCTCGTTATCTTCTATCTTTTGCCAATCCCGTCTAGGGGTGTCAACGAGCTGAAACTCGAAGCTCGTGCTCGGCTCGAGTAAAAACTGTTCGGACCTTTTTTGGCCCAAGCTGAGCTGAGTTTTTGCTTGGTCAAAAATTTAGGCTCGACTCGAACTTTTGGCTCGGGCTTTTACGAGCCAGCTGAGCCGACTCGATTTTTTATTTATTTTTTATAATAATACTACTGCCTACGTAACTACGTTTGCAGGCAGCTGTAATTATTATTATTATTATTTTCTTCTAAAACTTGGCTTGGATCGTCACAGGCGGAAAATGGCTCGTGACACAAGCCGATGAGCCACACAGGCTGGCTCGGGCTCGAGCAGTCGCCTCAAAATGGGGCTTTGCCCGAATCTGCTCGGGCTTTTCTCAAGCTAAGCCGCGGACTGCCCGAGTCAGCGAGTTACATTGACATCCCTAATCCTGTCTCATCTCACCATGCTGCAACAGCTGCGTTCTTTCTTACATTCTTCAATCTTCCTCCCCATGCATTCCCCGTGATTTCGGGGGAGGAGTTTGGAAAAGTTGGTCTATAGCACACGATTACATTGTTTTTCATTTATTACATGTCAAATTTAAATAAATTGAACACGAACAACTTTGTTTACAATTAATCATTCCCCATATATTATAAACATTAGGTCTTCCATTTTCTCTTAAAATTACTAGTGAGAGAACCAACATCAAGCTCCTTTATAATAAAATAATTTCAATTAAAAAAAAAATTTTGATAAAAAAAAAAAAAGAAAGAAAATAAAGGAAAACGGATAAGATGAGGCTGGGGTGGTAGTGGAGGTGGCGATTGTTGTTGATGGGTGCATAGAAAGTGACTCCATCTTTGCCGTCCTCGTTAGCTTTTGGGATTTGCCTATTTTGTGTATGGTACAATGGCCAATTCTACCTAAATTCATTGTCACTTATTTTTAATTTTATTATATAAAAAATTATTTATTTTATAAAAGGTTAGTGTCAAAGTAAGTAAATTATTTATTTTTAATTTTATCCATTCAAAATATGTAAAATTTAGTTACAAGTAACTTATAAATTAATTTTATTTTTAAATTTTAGCCAAGCTTGCATCACGTCAACTGGATCCACCTTGTTGGACAACAATAATAAATATAATTTTCATTGGGTCCAATTAATTTAATTTTTTTTGCATAATAATTGCTTCTCTATGAATACAATATGATGAAAGGTGCATGTCCATTTTACCTTTTGAAAAAAGCATGAGTTTACCTGTTTTTGAAGAGTCAAACCCTTATATTTTAGAATATGGAATAGCATAAAACCTAAGAGAAACTTTCAAAATTCTAAGCACGTGTTTTCAATTTCAAAAATCAAAATAAAAATCATATAATATTTCAATAGCTATCTCTCTTTGAATTGGTACATAAAATTGATTGGATCGAGCTGCTTTGTCAAGCCTGTAAAAGGCCTAGCAGAGCAAATGTGAGATGGGAAGGGGGTGGGTGTTTAACATTTTGGGTGGGGGGGGGGGGGGGGGGGGTTAATGACGTGGGTCCCGAGCAGGCCTAGTAGAGTAGCATTATTCAAATTGATTTTCTAGTAGAGGAATTTATTCGCACCACAAGTTTTGTTCGGTGCACAACATTTTGTTTTTTTTTTTTTTCGCATTCATATACTCAACTGTCAATTAATTAGCACAATTTGTTCTTACTGATGGTTTTTGTCCAAAAAGCCAGTCAGGAGTAGTGCATAAAAAAGCTTGTGTCCTCGTATTTTCAAATAAGCAAAGCACAACAAATATAAAAGTTCGATAGAATATTTGTCCATCATTTGAAAGCACGCTAACAAAGAAACTTTAATCAGAACATGATGTACTTACATATAAGATGTGACAAAAAAATTCTTAATAAATAAATATGACAATGAGAAAAGTATATGAACCTTCATTGTAATTAAGATATGATGCAACTGTGTGGTGTAAATATTAATTACCCATTTACCCCTTCAAATTTTATCATGATGGAAATTTATTAACCACCGCCCCCCTGCAGTTTCAAAACTTTTCCAAATTGTCCCTAAATCCTAAAGATTACTTTTGTGCTTTGGAAAAGGAAAAAGTTTATTAATTAATAGGTCATTTTCTCATATTTTACAATAAATTAACTGAACGGAGCCAATAATCCGTCAAGTTGGGGCATCCATGATATAGAATCACGACATTCATTGTACTTGAAAAAAGTATTATGCTAAAGTTAACTCGAGAGAAAAAAAATATCAACACCTATTAGGATACGAAAAGGAATAATTTTTATTAACTATTAGGTTACCTTTCATACTGCATGCATTTCACTCGTTTCTCTCAAAAGAAAATAAATACAAACCAAAAAATCAAGATTATTGTCTCGTTTTAAAAAGAACTTAATTCAACTGAATTGACGGTCTATGTCTTAGATTAACTACTTATGTTGCGGTCGATAAAAATGTCCAGCTAAAATTAACTCCGAGAATAAATATAATTTATTTTAAAAATACATTTTAGAAGAATTGAGAAGCAAATCTTAATGTGAAATGAAAGCAAATTGTGGGGGACACTTAATTTGCAAATAAATATTGACTGATTAAAGTCTACACATACAATTATGTTGACACAAATGGATCACTATTAGATATGAATTGATGAATTTTTAATAATTTAGTCAAGGTGCAATATGACACATTTTTAAAATTTGTACGTATTTGACCATCGATCCTCTTGCTTAGATAATGAACCATCGTTGGTGATCTCTCGAGATGATTTAAATTTGTTAAAATATATTTGTTAGGGACATTTTCCTTCCTTTTCCTTTTACTATTTTTCATTAGTTGAAAATTTAGGAGTCACGATTGCCCGATAAAAGTGTGTTAGGTATTCTAGATATAAGATTATCTTGACTCTTGATTGGCTCGACATGGGTCAAGTTAGGTGGTGCACGAGTCTTGTCTGCAGAGACAAGTCATGCTTGGCAAGGCTCCTTAAGACCATGGAACACTAGTTTTTTTTATTTTATTTTCTGAAATGTTATTTATACCATTTTTGTAAATTTATTTAGAAATTAAAAAGAAAATTGAGAATTTTATTGACTTCAATAGTTTTTCGATAATAAATAATCTACATTTTTAAGTTGCAGGTTATATTAAACATCATTCTTTAAATCGATAGATTCGAACTGAAGTTGTGTCAAACCTCTCCAAGTGTATAATTTGTTGAATTTGTCGAGAATGACTATTATAGCAAAATTGGAAAACTTGTTATCTAGAGAAAATGAGTGGTTGGACAAAGGCAATATGGAAGGAAGAAAAAGAGTGAATCTTTCACAAGCTACAAAATTGAGTTGGTGGTAATCTTTCCCAAACCAAGAAGAATAATATCTTTAATTTAGTGGATGTGAGAAAGAAATAAAGAAATAGACAAGCCACCCAAATTAAAACAAATATCAAAAAATAAAGAAAAGAGAACAAATTCCCTTTTGAGTTCTCCACTTTTCCTTTTCGTATTAGTAAAAATAAATAAATATTTTTCATTTTATCTTTTATATTTATGTTAGATTCAAAGTTTTCTACTTTCCCTTTACCCATCTTCTCAAGAAGAAGATTTTAACTTAAAAGTTAATTTTTTTTTTTTTTTCTCTTTTTGTTTAAGCGATTATATCTAGAAATAATTTGACAAAATTGAGCATTCTATTTTAAAATAAAAATATATAATTGATTCAAGTTCTTACTATATATATAAGTTTCTTTTAAGTAATTTTTTGTTATAAAAGAAAATACTTATTTTAACTTAAGGCATTTGTTACTTTCAAATAAATAACTAACACAAAAAATAAGTTTAGCCAAACATAAGTTTACTTTTAACAATTAAGCAAAAAAAAAAAAAAAAAACAAAAAGGAAAAAAAAATAAAAAAAAAAAAAGGTTTAAAAATAAATATTTTTTTAATTAGTGAAAGTAGAAATAAATAAGTTACCTTATTTTGACAACGAGGCAAGTTTTAGTTTCGATCATAGTAACCTTTTTTAATTGAAAAGAAAAAAAAGTAAATTATTCAAACACCTATTAGATTACCTGAAAGTGAGGGAAAAAATTCAATTATTTAAACATATTTAAGATAAAAATTACTTAAGAAGTAACTTTACCTTCTCTTTTTCGACTTAGCCAAACGTGCACAAGTGTGTGTATGGAAACTTTCATCTAGTGAAATTAGGTTTAAAAAAAAAAAAAAATGCAAGCAGGATTTTTAGTAAATATAACTAAATTTCATTTGGACAATCAAATTATAAATTGTTTCATTATCATTACTTAATTTCATAGGTAAAAGTAGAAAATAGAAAACCATAAAATTTAGACAAA